ACCTGACATCCACACAATTGTGGGAGTGTCATAATCCCTGGGCTATGGTGCAACGAGGCCTGCAGTGGTCCACCATTCCACAGAATAGAATCCACAAAAAGATATTTTGACAAGTGAACGAGACAATTGGTGGTCTGCTTTTTTTCTGCTCTGGGGCACATTCCCTCAGGTGCATTTCACTGTGGCCTACATAATAGCAGTCTTCCTTTTCCTCCTCATCTAGTGAGTTGCTGAGAAAAATATGAACTGATTATTGTACTTACAGTTTTAATGAGTCCAAAGGCTGTCTTAAATTAAACTTCTTAAAAGAATCAGGAAGGCTTTGGAACAAAGTTCCCCCTCCAATATACTCTCACCATGCCTCATTTTCTCATCCCTGCCATTGATATGAAGGATCAGCAGTGGCTGTTGCACATAAGAGGTAGTGGGTGGGTCTGAAGGCACAGAAGCCAATGATGGGTGGGGCCAGGGCTGGTGGCATGCTATATAACCTACTGCTTCTTCTCTGCTCTCTTCCCCACCCACCCATGACACATGCACACACATTGTTTGTGACTGGGAGCTGAGCAAGAGAGGAACACAGCTGGGGCCTTGGCCCTCACCCTTTGTAAGTAGTAAAGGAAGAATAGGCTGGCTGGTGGTTGCCTGGGGCTGACATTGGGAGCAGCATCCCATTTGCTTTCAGGAACCAAACACCACTGGGAAGGATGGTGGCAAAGGTTTGCACTGCCACAACGAGACGGCTTCTGGAGCAGACCTCCTTTACTGCAAGCCAACCTCCTAACGCTTCTCCTTGGAGGCCAAAGGACAGCACTGTCAGATACAAAAGGAAAGGCTAAAAACACTTCCCTATGCAACTGCACTCTCCTCTTCATCCCATGACATCCAAGGCCAGCCAACCTGAGTCACAAAGTCTCACAAGAAACACATTCCCTGCTGGTGCTATTACAATAATACTTGTGTATCATCAAGTCAAGAAGAGGTATGCCGACTCTTTTCAGGGTTTTCAAGGTACAGACTACTTAAAAGTGGTTTATCCTTCCCTTCTTCTGAGGTGCTCCCTGGGATTGTGTAGCTTGCCCAAGGCTACACAGGCTGGCTCTTTTCCTAGGAAGTACAGTTGAAAATCAAATTCCCAATCCTTGGATCAGGTGCTCCAACTCAGCGAACTCTCAAGTCAGCTTCTAATTTACAATAATAAATAAAACATAGCTAAACATTTATTGTCCTTTCATGACACTCTAAAACAGCTGCCTCACTCTACCTAACAGTAGGGCCAACCATGGCAAAAAAACAAGGTACATTTTGTTCCCAGAAAAAAATCCACACATTTTCATAATTGTTCATTTCAGTCTAGGGGACCATCTTATATTGGGTCCCAATCTTCTCAATACTCTTTCTTATTGTCTGTGCCTTTATCATATTTTATAATGTTCTTGTCTGTTCCCTTTTCTTTTTTTCTTTTTTGTTTCCATTGTAAAGCAAAGAGGCCAAATCTTTTCAGTTTCCTTTCCTTTCACAGCAGGGTTTCATCTGCCCTTTCTGTATGCCCTCTGTGCTATTCTAGCAGTACAATTATCTAATTCTTTCTTCTTAAACTTGTTTAAACCAGTTGCTTCAATGATTGCTTGACAGAATGGCTATTGTAGGTTGATAAAAATGCTGTGTCTTAAAGGAAAAAGGAAAGAAAAGTAATTCCTTTTATCATCCAGAAATATAGTTGAATGACCTTGTAGGCCAGCATTCAAGGGGGTTCTTTCAGAAGAATATTCTACTCTGGAATATCCTTCCATTTTTTTCTCCCACCTCCACATTTCATAATTTGGTTTTCGCTAGTCCTATGGCATGATACCCAGTGTGCTATAGTGAACAGAGTGACAAATTAGGACTCGAGACCAGGGTTCAAATCCCCAATTGATCATGGAGACTCACTGGGGGAATGGAACTGGTAGAACCACTCCTTAAATATCTCACTTTCCTTGAAAGCCCTGTTAGGGATGTTATAAGTCATTCTAACATGACAACATGTAACAACAACAGTTCTGTGGCAGTGTGTAAAAGTCCCAGATGGATGCTCTAGGAATCACTAATGAAGACACAGAACCACTCCTTAAATATCTCACTTTCCTTGAAAGCCCTGTTAGGGATGTTATAAGTCATTCTAACATGACAGCATGTAACAACAAAACAACAGTTCTGTGGCAGTGTGTAAAAGTCCCAGATGGATGCTGTAGGTGTGTGTGTGTGTGTGTGTGTGTGTGTGTGTGTGTGTGTGTACACACATGAACAGGACAGTCTCACATCAGCCATTCTCAACCATTCTTTGGCCATGGACATAAACACAATATGAAATATAGGCTGAATCAAGATTGTATAAGACACATGAGCAACCTTATAAGGTGGTGTGTGAATAACTGTTTCCAGTTGGTGGGCCCTTCAAACGCTCCAGGGCCCCTGCTGAGAATGACTGCTTGAAAGAGCAAAGGGTTGTTGTTGGCCAAGCAAATCAAAGCCCTTTGACCTAATTCCTCCGTCTACTCATCTATTTGCTGTCTGTTAAGGACTGAGTTGCCACAGTGAAGTTCAAACAAAAAGTTGCCTTTTCCTCTGTGTGTGCAATGTGCATGTGTGAGCACACGCACAATATAAAATATCATCTTCTCATAGTAGTGCCTGTGTTTCTATTTATGTTTACAGGCTCATCTGAATTTGCTAGTAATATTTTCCAGTTTATAAAGTCACCTATGAAGTTGGTTTGTGCTTTTGCTATGTGAACAGAGACCACAGAGCAGTGACTGGAGCTTCCCCCTTCTCTCTCTCTTGCAACAAATATTTCCTGCACACCTATTTGTTTTATCCAGATTTGTATTGAAGTATATTCTTCACACGCCTCCAATGGTTTTGTCATGCCATCTTTCCTTCAAGTCAGTCGTTCATTACTTGGTACAAAGAATGTTTATTGAAAAGATGGTTGCTGTTGTCTCCATTAGGCGTCACAATGCAATGTATGAAAAATCGAAACAGCAGGAGTGTCCCTGTACATAGGCCTGCAATCTTCTGCATACTTTCTTGAAAGTAAAATCTATTCACCCTTGTGGAACTTACCTCTGGATAAACATGCATTTTCCAGCCTCCCATATGAAGGGGACAGTCCTCTAGCTGAAGTCATCCTCTGTTTGATGAGTTGTGAGCTCCAGGTAGGGCTTGAAAAACTGTAAGAAAGGGAAGCAAGGACCTTGAAGTCACCTAACTAGCCAGTCAGCAGGACTCAGACAGACTTAACAGGCATACAAATCAGAAAAGGGAAGCAAGGACCTTGAAGTCACCTAGCTAGCTAGTCAGCAGGACTCAGACAGGAGACTTAACAGGCACACAAATCGGTGAGTTAGTTTTCCTTACTATGGTGAGATATACCACATTTCCATTTATATGACAGCAACTCTTTTCTGTATCTGCATCTATATGTATATATTAGCACACAGGTATTGTTAGTTTTCCTTACTATGGTGAGATATACAGTACCACATTTCCATTTATATGACAGCAGCTCTTTTCTGTATCTGCATCTATACGTATATATTAGCACACAGGTATGAATGCAAATCTGTGCCTTCTTTAAGATTTTTTTTTAAATGGTTCAGTATGTAGCCAAACAGCTGCCTAATGCAGACCTGGGCAAAGTGCGGCCCGAGGGCCACATACGGCCCGCGAGCTGCTCCTGTCCGGCCCGCGGACAGTTTTGAACATCAAAACCATTTATAGCTTTTTGTCTAAAGTTGATCAGTTGCTTATCTTTAACATACCGCAAAAAAACTTTAGTATTTGTGAAGATTAACAAGTTTAAAATAAAAACAATCATATCACTGTTTCATTTTATTTTTAAGTAAAGTTGGTTCAGCCCCCGAACACAGTTCAGATTTTTCATGTGTTTCCCCCTATAGAAATTAACTGCCCACCCCTGGCCTAATGTCAATTTACCTCTCATGGGTCTACCCTGAGCAAAACAGTCCTGCTTGTAAGAGCTGGCCTGTGTCTACCCTAGTAGTGCACTGAATATAACCAACTGTTGTTAGGTCACCTCCAATTTATGGCAAACCTATGAATAAGTTCTCTCCAAATGGTCCTGCTCAGCTTCTGTAAACTCAAAACTGGGGATTCCTTTAAAGAACCAACCCATCTTGTGCCTGGTCTTCCTCTTTTCCACCTTTCCCAGCATTATTGTCTTTTCCAGAGAATCTTGCCTTCTCATAACCTGCCCAAAATAGGACAGCCTCAGCTTCAACATTTTTGCCTCCAGAGATAATTCAGGCTTGATTTGATATAGGACACACTTTTTTGTGTGTTTCCAGCAACCCAGGGGCTCCTGTATCTTTAGTAGTTGTTCAGCAGAGGAAATTCAGCAATCCTTGCTGTTGTTCCATCCTGTCAACACTAAATTGCATTTTTTGAGGGTTTGTGAGATGGTCCAGGAAGGTTGTTATGGGTTCTTCGGGCTCTTTGGCCGTGTTCTGAAGGTTGTTCTTCCTCTTCTGAAGGTTGCTCTTCCTGACCTTACACCAGTCTCTGTGGCCGGCATCTTCAGAGGACTGGAGTAGGAACTCTGTCCATGCTCTGTTGGTGTTTGTTGGATAGTATTTAGTACTGGATAGTCCAGGAAGGGTTTACTCGTGCCCCCCCTTCCGTGGGTTTCCACAACTGAGTGAGAATTTGAGCCCAAGTCCCCAGAGTCCTCGCCTGACACTGTCCATTGCACCACACGGGCTCCCGTCACGCACATTTAAAGGCCTTTGTCACACAACGATTTAAGGTACAAAAACCACCAACCCCACCACCCCCTTTCCCCGCAGCCTCCCTCCGCCAGAAGATGGCGGCAAGGCGGGAGGACGCCTCTGTGACCGAGCAGGGACAAGGCACCAGGGGGCGCTGCGGCGCAAG